AAACCCCAAAACCCCAAAACCCCAAAACCCCAAAACCCCAAAACCCCATCAAGAAATAATAGCATGAGAAATCAAATAAAGAATATTGAATTTAATTATTATCAAAATGGAGAAGGTTGAAAGAGTTTCGAAAGTAGATGTTGTAGGAGGCGACAATGATGACTACGTAGATTGGGAGGACTTCATTATAATTTCAGGTAAAATTTCAATCTTTTATTAACTTTTCTTAGGGGGTAAGAATATATATAGTTAAAGAATTGCTTTTAGAGGAAATCACAACTTCATTTAATGAGAGGAAGTTGAAGACGTAATTTTATTTAAGCAGACGCAATGGGGCTCTTGAATAAATTGATTTTAGCAAGAATCTCAATATCGACTATGAAAAGGCATGTCTTCTAATGAGTGAGGTTAGATCTGATGAGTACAATGGGAAAAATTAGTTGAGGCTATCAGATAAAAAGTCAAAAGATCCTCCAAAGAGTTCTTCCAATCTTAATGTTTCTCATGATCAAGTCTAAACGTAGAAAAAGCTACTTTGGTCATGGAGAGACTAAAAGTAGAAGAGCTTTTAAGTTTAGGCGAGACATCAAAGTTTCCTCTCATCAAATCAAAGAGAGGCCGCTGATGAAGAAGCCAAAGATTTCCTGAGAATGTAGGAGGAGATGAAAAATTAGAGTTAAAGAAGAAACACTCAATAGCCTGAAAGTAACTAGGCTAATAATGATATAGACAAACTTAATGTGACTTATCAAAACAACAATATATTAACAAACGACATGGAAGAAAGTAATTAGAGAGTTTCAACATTAGAGGAAGAACCATTAGATGAATTTACATAACCTGAAGATGGTGGTGTAGACTAATATATATGGTCAAAAACTAAAATGCTTGCTCCCTTTTCCTTTATGAGTTAAAACGTTTTAGAACAAAATTTGTAGCCTGATGCACTTCCACCAACCTATGAGACTTACGAACAAATCAAGTTATACAAAGGTAATATTTTGAAAAATAAAGAATTTTAGAAACTAAAGAAAATTAAAGTCAAAATCAGAATCAGATTCTCGAGAAGTAAAAAGGTGTTGTGAAGGATGTACTTTCAAAAGCAGCAGCAAACGTATTTTCAGGTTAAAGCATTATTGGAATTTCATTGCCTGTTAGAATCTTCGAACCTAGAAGTCTCTTAGAAAGAATATGTGATTGGTATGGATTTGCTCCAGTATTTTTAAAACAAGCTGGATTGATTGAAGATAAAATAGAAAGGTTTAAATTAGCCATAGCCTTTGCATTGTCGTGCTTATATTGCTCAGTTAAATAATAAAAACCTTTCAATCCCTTACTGGGAGAGACTTTTTAGGCTTTTTTTGATGATGGAACAAGAATATTCTGTGAGCATACAAGCCATCATCCACCCATAGCTAATTTCTAGATGGAAGACCCTGAACAGCTCTATGAGTTTTGGGGATTTTACGAATTCAAAGCTAAAATTAGCAATAACAATCTTATCATGAGAAACGAAGGACCAAATAACATCAAATTCCATGATGGATAATGCATTACATACTGTTATCCAACTAGTAAGCTTGGAGGAATGCTCTGGGGACAGAGAACTCTAACTATTGATGGTAATATGATATTTGAAGACAAAGACAATGGCTTAAAAGCAGTCATTCTATTTTAATAAAAAGGTCATGATAAGTACTATGGAAAATTTTATCATTATAAACCAGAACTTAACCTTTAAAAGAAAGATCCTCAAAAAATAGGAGATATTAAGGATATATAAAAGGAAATCTGTGATATCTCAGGTTCATGGATGGAAAATCTTTTGATAGAGGATAAAGAATACTGGAATATCAAATTGATGGAGCCAATGAAGCCTATTCCGATTCCAAATCCATTATAATCTGATCCAAGATATAGAGAAGACCTTATATGGTTAAAGAGAGGAAATGAAAATTATGCTTAAACTTGGAAAACTCGTTTAGAAATATAGCAAAGGCATGAGAGAAAGCTGCGAACTGATGTTGAGAAGCGAAATACAAAGATGGAAAAAAAAGAATCTCAAGCTCATAAGAAAAAATCCTTTTTCTCATGATTATGAAAAATTCTTAATTAGTAGAATAAATATATCGCTATTAGAGTAGTGTTCATTATGGTAGTCATTTCAAAATTTGTTAATAAAATTCACAGCTTTCTAATTTTAGTTTTCGCTATATAATGGGGTTTTGGGGTTTTGGGGTTTTGGGGTTTTGATCT